TTTGAATCATCGTGTTTCTGCCGCTTAACTGTCTCTTTGTATGAAAGTTTAGTAAAAATATATTTATAACTTTACTCTTCTAAAAATTTATTTCCAAATAATTTGCAATAGAGGTGTGTGTTGATTTTGTCGTTCTGTGTTACAATGTACAATTGTTCACGTGCATAGATGAACAAATATATTCTATAAAACAATCAAAATTATTCACATTTTATTACTACATGGGAGACACCATAAGTAGTACCAATCATTTGTTTCCTACTTGGTCTCTTTATTTGCGTAATTTACGTAATTTACGTAATTTTTCGACACATTCTGATCGATCAATGTAATCATAACTTTTTATAGTAATATATTTTTTCAAGTATTATTTAATATATTACGTTATAATTAGTTTAACGTAAGGCGGATAAGAATATTTTGATTAGTTAAGAATAGAGTGTAAAATTCAATTTATATCTATATGGTATTATTTATAATTAATGGTCAATGAATCGATAATTTATTTGAAAATAAATAGCTAAATGCCTGTTCCTTGTGGCGTAATATATTTTATTTGTATAATATATGATTTATGGGCGCGTTAAATTCAGGTAACAAAGTCGGATAAATTTATAATGACAAGCAGCTAAAAATATATGAAATTTATTAAAAAAAAAAAAATAAAAAAAAAATAAAAACGCTTGAAGCATGAGTAAAAGAAGTCGACAAGATAATATAAGTTTTTGTTACTTTGAGAAATATCAAGCAATAAAAGTATCTAATTTAATAAAAGATCGCGTACATAAATTTACATTCAATCGTATTGTTCTCAAAGTTCAAGCGAATTAATCTATTAAACATAAAGTAATAATTGTCACAAAAGGAGTATAAGAAGTTTTACGAGGGGAATTCACCTCACGAGACATAATAGGGCGATGTTTTTCTAGGGAAATATAGGGCGTGGAATGCGTAGAACGAGAATTGAGAAAGACGAGGAGTACAAATTCTTACGATTCCAAAAATAATCCTAGATAAATATCGTATTTATGTTATGTAGTGTGAGGATAATAATTAATAATCTGCAATGCTGTCAATTATTATTAATGCAATAAGTATCAATACGACGAATCGAGCAATATAAACAATGCAATTATGAAAGTAATGTCGTATCGTGGAATTGGGATTGATTAATAAAAGTGAATGTGAAAGTAAGCAAGACAATGTCGAATGCTCTTAATGGAAAGGACAAAGAAGAAGAAGAAGAATATAAATACTTGATTGATGAGTTTCGCTAAATAAGAAACTGAAATTGAATTGAATTATCGGTCGTAATGGTGTTCCGCCGCATCACACATATTATTATACTGAATTCGAAATTTCGTTATCAGGCCCGAGTTAGAGTGAGAAGATTGGGTACGTATCCAAGTCTACATATCATCGGTCGCGATAAAGGCGAACAAGCGATAACTCTCCAAAAAACGCAATCTATTGCGACGAGTAGCCAGGCAAAAGTCAAGTGCGGGATGTTTTCACGGAGAAGGAGCGACGGGCCGCGCTCTTCGGCTATTCAAATTCCAACATGTACAGTCGCTCGGGAAGGTAATTGCGTGCGGCTAAGCACAGGCCTCGGGTCGTTCCGTGGCGAAGCACTGCCCCTCGACCAACGGAAGCCCCATAGTTTCCCGATGCGCAAACTTCCCAAATTGGCCCGAGGAGCCCTGTCCGGAAAATCGATAGCCACCTTGGAGCGGGATTCGCACCAGGATGCGCGACCTGCCGATCACTGACCTCTCCTAGGCGCCGTCGCCGCTACTGCTGCTGTTGTTGCTGTTGCTGCTGCTGCTGCTGCTGTTGCTGCTGTTGCTGCGCTGTTGCTGCTGCTGCTGTTGCTGCTGTTGCTGCTGTTGCTGCTGTTGCTGCTGTTGCTGCTGTTGCTGCTGTTGCTGCTGTTGCTGCTGTTGCTGCCACTGCTCCCGAGTACGATACTCGCGTGGCTCTGTGCTTCCTGCCCCAGCGCACGACTGGGGCCGCGCCACCGTCTGACGTTCGCGGCTGCTTCCTCGCCTCTCCTTCGCCCCTTCGCCCGAGCGCTCAACCCGCCTGACCGCCTCCGCTTCGACGTCGAGCAGAGGCGTACGCCGCGCTCCCGGCACCCCTCGCTTTCCCGGCTCACGGCCCGCTGCTAGCGCCGGAGCTAGAAGAAGCCGACCCTATCTCGACCTTATCGAGCGCAGGCGCCTTGGCGCGTACGAGGAGAGCGGCGAGTCGATGAGACTCGGGAGTCGCTCGGCCAGGAGGAAGGGCGTGTGCGCGTACGAGGAGTCGGGTGGTGCTCGATGCACCCTTCCCGAGGCTGGTGATTCCCCGTATTATGAGATCCGACGGAGAACAGCTGGAGCGACTCCGAGGGTCTTTTTACGGTGGATTTTGTTATAATCGTTTTAGTAGTTCCGATGGGATCGCCCTGACTAAAGCTAAATATAATTTTCTAACGCAAAGAGCCCCATTATTGCTTGCTTATTATTATCCTTCGGCTCACGGTTATCGATCATAATTTATATGCATCAGTATGCGAGCACAAGTATTTCACAACGATGTGTACTTCATTCGCGTCACTTACTCACACTGAAATCGCTGCGTTAAATATGTACCTAAAGGTTATTAATAGGGAAGAGAAATTTGTTTATTTCCAACCATAGCTTAACGACAACGGCCATACAACTTATATGCGAATTTGTTATTGTTGTTTCTTTCTTTTATTCTTTTTCTTTTCTTTTTTCGTGACAATAATTAATTTATAATATCGACATACGATGCATTTAGGTGAGATAACGTTTAAAAGCTGATAGATGTAATCAGTCAATGTTTAAACTATATCATAATTTTTATTGTTATCTATAAGTAATTATTGACATTGACCTTGAAAACTTTGGGCTTTATCGAAGAACATGAGATAACGGCCCTTAATATTCAATGCGACCAATACAAAGCTGAAGAATAATTTTCCAAAGCGCTCTCCAATAAGTCCAATATGTCCAATAAAAATTTCGATAATGATTATTTTCAATATGAAATATCAATGCAACGCTACAGAGACACGTATGGGTTTTAGCACTGTGGTGCATAAATGACTTGATACTTGGGTGTTGATACTGCAGGCAAAGTTGGCTTTCACAAAACGAACCTGGGGAGTAGCTAACTTCGTAATTAATATTCGTACGTTATAACAACAATTATCCGAATAAGATATCTCCCATCTTATATTATCCATGCGATAACCAAGAAAAATTTATATTTTAGCCATATATTTATATATATATATATATATAAATACGCTCTATTCATGCAAACCGTATAAATGCAGCATTAAGCGTCTTATAAATATGATATAAAAATTTATTTATGCCGTTTTATATTACTATAAAATTTCACATTATGTAGAGTTGGGGTTTAATTGTGATTTTAGGAAATATTTAAAACGTGTGCCGTTACATAAGGGAGTCACAGGACTGGTGCACATAAATGCCCGATCAGTCAAGTATTCGGAAATACAAAATGCACTCGGAGCAACGTGCTCATCTTCTCTTTTACTCTTCCTTCTTTTTCTTCTTTAAATTCTCTGCGGCTCTTGCCGTGCGATTTCTAGCAGAATATCGCTTCCTTTGCCTCGCCAGTTGTGCAGTTAAAGAAACGCATTAATTCTTAAGTGCCTTTTTATTTGAGGAACATTCTCTACAGTATTTTGCCTTGTTTTTATAAACATGACGATTTTAAGTAGCTTTTAGTGGAGCGCGCGATTATAATTTACGATACTGCGTTGATGAACAAATTTCGTATATATGCCTTGAAACATTTCACAATAAATATGAAATATAATTTGTCTTAAGAGTTTTAAATCTATTATCATGTTATACGTATTTAGATTGACTTGGAATTATGTAGCTATGAGTAATATAAATTTTTCTCTTATACACACACACACACACACACACACACACACACACACACACACACACACACACACACACATGATAAATATGAAGTATTAATATAACAATAAAGTATTACCGCCTTCTGAGAGTTAATTGATGTTTTTATAAATTAATCATAAAATTTATGGGTACTTCATTCAATTATATAATTGAAAAAATCTAGCGATTCCTCGCCAAGGTTCTATTATTTTAATCTAACGCCATTAAGACAGCGTATCGATCATTCTTAACAAATAGTGTAAAGATTTGTCTGTAATCGCTTAATTAAATCTATTTTTTCAATCAATGTATATAATAAATAATTGATACGCATAAGTGTAATATCCGATCGAGGATTATAAAATATGAAATCGTTCTTTTAATATTGTCTTAGGAGAACGTAGGATCTTCGTTTCCTTCACATTATCAACGTATACTTTCAAATTAAATATTATCACCAATATTAAGTGCATTTAATTTTTTTTTTAATTAACAGAACGACGAGCAATAAAATAATATTATTACATTAAAAAAAAAAAAAAAAAAAAACTACAACTACAGTTTTTTTTTTTTGCAATTACATATTGATTTATTTTTACTTAACTTATATACGTAATCGTTTATAAAATTTAATGTAAACAATTCGTTTCATCGTTGTAAATAGATAAATGTTTTCTGTAATCAAGAAGTATTGCAAAAAAAGAAAAAGAAAAAATAAACTATCCTTATTAAAATATTTCAAATGAAAGTATAAAATATAAATATAATAATAGGAAAAATTTTTTTAAATCAAATACCTGATAAACAATAAATAAAGCCTTATCGAGAGGGCTTAATTGAAAATTTGTTATTGGCCATGAATGCCCTACGGGAAGATGTTGTTGATCAAGGTAAATGTTATGATTGATGGATCTTGAAGATTTTATTTTGCCAAGAATCCAAGAGTGCGTTAATGCATATTAAAATTTAAAAATAACGAAAGGAAAAGAGCCAGCAGTTGTGCAGAGCTCTTTCCAAATGATAAATAATAGTACAATTGAAACTTACGGACGCAAGCTGGCAAATTGGGAATATTTTCTATCCATTGACCACCTGCACAATGAACCGTACGTGTCCTTTGTCTGGTATCCGGGAACAATGTACCGGCTCTACAGAGGAACGTCCTCGTTTCCAGGGTGCCATTTGATACGTAACTGCCTGGGGGGGCTATCACATTGGGACACCCTAAAACTGCGTAACAGTGCTTATTACCGACAATCGCACTTTCCTAATCTTCGCTTCGATACGAAACTTCAGCTTAACTGTTAATTGCGCCATGGCTTGTAGCATATAGTTACTCTCATAAGTCAAGACCCACATAGCATTATTTAATTGCAAACTAAAATAAAATCAATTTGCTCATATTTTACATGAAAATACGATCAAACGGTTTTTCAAGACTATGTGTCTTCATATATATATATATATATATATATATTGTGAATTTGAAGATGTTACGACCTTTTGTACTAAACTTCTTCAATTATTTCTTACTTTATTTCAGATATTAATATAGATAGCAATATAAATATCGATCATGACAATTTATAATACACTAATAATATTATTATAAATAATATTTATCTCAAAAAAAAAAAAAAAAAAGAAATCATTATTAATAATTGAATAGTAAAATCTGTTCATTAATATTACAAATTGTATAATATAGGTCATTTATTGTAAGTTGCAATATGATTGTTTAAAATTTCATCGAAAATTTATATCCTGAGTATATAAAATTTTTAATTAACATCTTATTCGATTAAGCATAATATAATTTTTTTGTATTATATATTGTATTAATTAATATTGTTGCAGTTTTGTATTAATAATAACTGTTAAAAATAAATAAAATAAAGTACATTAATATTTATGAAATTGAAATTAAATCATTAACGTATCTTGTAAATGGCCTACCTAACAAATTAAATAAATTAATAAAAATTTATGCAACTTATAATACAATAACAGGGCATCCAAGCTTTTCTACAATATAAACTTTTTCAGCGTTTCTAATTTCTAAAAATTTAATTTTAAAATAACAATATTAGAAAATGACATAGTTGTTCAATTGCTTATTAATTGTTAATATCAATAATCAAATTATATGTATTAATAATTGGCAGTCGGTAATTTAGAGTTCTACTTTGTTGATAATACCTATCGATCCGAGATCAAACAATTTGAATGAAAAACATTATAATGCAAAGTTTTCTTTCTTTTTTTTTTAACATTATATAACACCAAATTAAAGATTAAAAAATTTTATTTTATATAGTAAAAAAAAATACCCTTCCAATTTTTAATTTAATATCATGTAATTCTTTATTTAATTCTTTATTTAATTCTTTCATTTAATTGACAGTATAATCAATAAGTAGCGCATTCATTATAAATAACTTGATAATATAATAAAATTATAATATTAAGTAATTTTAAATTAAATTAACAAAATTTGTTTCTTTCATCACATTACAATACGATGCAAATGATTTGTTGAAAAACAATACTATACTATAGTGTTTTTAAGTATGCATTAAAATTGCAATGTGTAATAAAATGTTCATAATTCAATGAACAAAACAATGGACAGCCTTATGCTTATATCATACGAACCGAATGAATAATATTATATTCTCTATTAATGCTTATCAAACTAAAATTAAACTAAAAATCCTTTTCGTCATTATGTAAGAGAGGATTTTTAATTTTTAATTTAATTATTAAATATTAATTTTCGATTTTCTACTATCTTTATATGCAATAATGACTTTAAGCTTCATAATCAGATTATCCTATATTTCATACGAATATTAAAATTTTAATTATATTATTTATTTTAATTTATACTTTTTCACATTAAATTTAATTTATTCGATAAATATTATATCATATTAGCGCACCCGACTACATAAATTAAGTTCATTGGAATTTATGATTAATTCTAGTTTTAATAATTAGTCGTTTTAATATCCCGTATGATTGCCTATTAAATTTCAATATACTTATGTATATATGTACTTACAATACTGATTATTATATTTACTATTATTATTATTATTATTATTATTTAAGATGTGTGACGGCTATTATAATATTACATTTGACTATTAAGTAAATACAATTCTCAGTTATAAACAAAGTTGTTTTTTCACTTTATATTAGAAATTTGTATTGTAATATAAATAAAAACTGTGATTTTTAGTTCTCAGCTGTTATTTTTGGATTAAAAACAAGAGTTAACTGAAAAATTCTTAGTTTAAAATTAGACTGATGGAAATTAAATAAAACCGTTGAGACGGAAAGCCAAAAATTCTATTCTACTCGAATACTTTTGAAGAAAATTTGTGTTTCAAGTAAAAATCATACGACAAAAAAAAAAAATCAAAAAAAAAATTATTACTAATAAACTACTATTACTAATAACGTAGAGCTTGTTTGAGAAATTATTTTCAATTCTCTGGAGTTGTACAATCACATCATTTCCATAGACGAAGGTTTCTCAAATCGTCGCAAACATATAAAGTATTCGATTATACCTTGATATTGTAAGAAAAATCCTCGAGCCGGATAAAGTCTTGCCGATGCCACAAGATTTAGTGTAACGACATTCGTATTTGATATTATTTTCACACCGGCTGCCGTGCCGCATGACTCGAACAAGGTATTTCCGTCATCGCGTACCCTTACAATGTCGATGCAGCTTCCGTCCGCTTCGTGATCTATAAACAATGAGATGGATTAAGAGATGGCTTTAACGGCCTTATTTTAAAATTCTTTATTAAGAATTTAGTGATGTCATTTTAAGTTTTTAAGTAAATAATGCATTCGGTTCACCTCGAATACTGAGATCGTGAAACGTCAGGACTATTCTCTGCCCTGGAATGGACCTGAATGTCCAACCACACGTAATTCCACCGAGATAGTACAAGGGATATCCTGGCGATTTTAAATAGCCACCTTCGTTATTAGGAACATTAACTTCGGCGTTACAATATTTGTAGACCGATGTCTCTGCAAAATGATATTTATCAGTGTTGCCTTGATTAAAATCTTTGATGACTATTTGATATTTAATAAAATGCTACTACTCATGCAATTAGTCATTTATCGCACGAGTGCGATACCTCGAATAATATTTTAAGTTATTTTTATTATTGAAATAGCGTACAATTGTATTTTCACAGTATAACGACATTATTTAAAGGCTTTTCTCTTTATTTCGCTCATACATGGGAAATATTTTTAACGTTTATGGAATAAAAATTTCATTCAGTTTCAACTAACTTTTACAAAAAAAAAAGAAAAAAAAAAAAGAAAAAAAAATTTATCTGAAGCAATAAAAAGCGATAATATATTATAAGAACTTTTTTTTTCCGTATTAGAGAGATTTTTAAATTAATTTTATTGAAACTGGCATGGAATTGTTAAACTTCGGATGAATAACTTTATTATTTTCTTTTTTATTATCAGTTAAAAGAAAATTTTATAATACTTTAAAATATATGTCCTTAACTTAATCAGTACAATATAGAACTTGAAATTTATTTTTCTATTATATTTAATAATTGTACAGAAATAATTGGTAATTCTATCATTCTATTTAATAATAATATTTTTATGAATGTAGAACATTGTTATAACTGTGATTTTAATTAATATATATTTTCTTTTTTGCAAATATTTTTTATAATTATTACTATTATGTAAATGAATTAACTATTTTAAAATTAATTCAAGGGATAAAGAAAATCATGCAATAACGAATATATAATAAATAAGAAATCATAATACATAAATAATGATTAATAAGAAAAATTAATAATAATGAAAGAAAAGATTTATCTAATATAAGGCAACTTTCCAGTATATTAAAAATAATAAATATTTATAGAAAAAATTTGAAAATTTGATGGATATATATATATATATTTCCCCTCATTTCGTGAGGAATTGAAATGGAAAACTCGCAGAGAATTTTATCCCACGATGACTAATTCAAAATCTGAAGAAATTCTAGCAATTGTATTTCGTTTATTGAATTTGACAAAACTTGTACGTCTCTGCCCTGATTGGACAAAGAAGGATAAATAGAATACAAGAGTAAGACAGATAGATAGATAGATAGAGAGAGAGAGAGAGAGAGAGAGAGAGAGAGAAAGCTTTACGGTCAATTCGTGTTAGAGCTCTAGATTGACCATCACGTACGTTTACCAAAAGCTATAAACGCTTTTCCATTTCTTGCAGCATCTATGAAATGATGCTATTGCCAGTCCACCCCACTCCCCCTTCCGCTCGTAGACCAGTCAATAGAAATATTTGTAGAAACGATTAAAATTGTAGTCGATTCGCCTCTCTCTCTCTCTCTCTCTCTCTCTCTCTCGTTGCATCTGTTTCGACAAATGCTTAGCGGGAAAAGAAAGCCATAAAAGTAACAGCGATGTTCATCATGAAATGAATGAAAATGGGGATCAAACTGCTGTCCTTGCTCCACTTTCCGAAACCATTCGCATTACTTTCCATTTTTATATGTGTGTAGTAAACGTGTATGGAATTGGTCAAAATCCGGGGTTGATTTTTGATCGCACAGATTTCATAGAGAACAGAGCTTGCGTAAGTGTTAAAAGTAGGGCGAATCGGTCTCGTTTAACCAACCAAATTAAAAAAGCGATATACGTGACGATTCGAACTAAAATTAAAAATATATGTATGTAAAAAGAATGAATTACAAAGAATCAATATAAATACTAATTTAATTATCCTTACAATAATCTGCTATTGATTGTTTAAAAAAGATTTTTCGATATTTTCGTGCTTAATCTTTGTCATTTAAATAGAAAGTGCATAATCAATGAATAGAAGTGTCAATAGTATTGCTTGGTTTTTAATTTGTAAAACGTTATTGTTTTCCAAATATTGTATGTACTATTTTGAATAGAATTTTTACAAGTATAAGGAAAAAAAAAGAGGTGCGATTTAATGTATTTGCCATCCCGTGTTCCCTCTAATAATGTTTTATTTGCCTTCCTTTCGAACAATTTGAAGCTCGATGGTTTCATTTAATTTTTGAAAAATCAGTTATAGAGATGATTGAGACGTTAGGGGGGCAAATATTTTTTAGGCATTTGTAACAAATCTAAATTTTTCAAATATATTCCTACAATGTTTTTTTTTACACCTGTAAGCCTTATAGCAAAATAGATCTATCGCAATAAACATCTTCACCATGTCTATACAATTTATACATTAATAAAATTATATAGGAAAAACAATTTTTTATTTACTATTGTCAATTGTTTATTTTAAAGAGTTATGAGAGAGAGTTATAAATTTATGATTAAGTTTTGAAATAAAGTGCAGGCGTGGATGTAGGAAACGAACCTGGTATGCAAGCGTATTTTATTCGAATATTTGCAGGAATCCAGAATAGCGCTTCCGGATGATCGGACATGACCTTATATTGACAATGGTGATGTCCCGAGCATCTAAAAGAAAAATTAAAACGGATATAAGTTTAAATAAATTATTTATTATTAAGACGTTGTAATAAGCATTTTGCTGAGCGAATTGAAAAATGAATATCCATATAACAGAGTTTAAGCTCAGACATAATTACTGATCAATAGAATTTTTTTTTATTTTATTTTTAATTAACACCTACATGTTATTATTAAGTAAATAGATATGATTTTAAGCTTTCGTAAATAAGATTGGGAATAAGGAATATCTTTCGATGACGATCGAACAAAATAACAAATTTATAAAACTACATGTTCAATATACACTCGATACATTCTCTACTCGTTAAACGTCGAATCAAATAGCCTAAGATAAGAATGAATGACTGTAGATCATCTAAAGGTAGTTTAATCCATTTCCGATAAGAAATCTCAAAACCAATGTAACAAATGCATTTACACGTTTTACAACATTTAATAATTAAAGATAGATGTTTACTAATAATACTAATAATATAAACTGAAATCCGAACATGCCATTCGAGCTGTCAAAGCGCTTCTTTCAAAGTATAAACTGAAAACTAGTTGTTCCTAAGCTCCTCTCTCTCTCTCTCTCTCTCTCTCCTCCCATATCCCTTATATTCATCTTGCAGTACATGCCGCACGAATTGGTTTTCGGGCACTCTCGACGCGAGGATATTATCCGCTGAGGGGTGAACTCAAAGGATCGTATGAGGATGAGTGCAACGCGCTCGTATTTCCATGACTGTTGTGCGCACGAGCGCGCGCAATTACGTAATGTTGTATACGTGAATGTGCACGGGTA